TTTTCTTTTATTTTGCCTAGATATCAGGTAGAAAGCATTCTTCTTCAGTATTATGAAATGTGAAAAGTCAAGGATGATATTTGTGCATCATAATTAAGTTATTTCTGAAGGCTTTTAATCTTCTTTGCTTGCCATATTATCAACTTATATATTAAAACACTAATATTTCAGTTAAATTTAAAAATATAATTTATGGATCATACTTTGTAATGGTTATATAAGCAGATGAATTGTGATATATTAAAAGAACTATCCATGCTAGGAGGTTTTGTTCCATATTGAATATCTTTATAGTATAATAGTATAAAACTAATTGGCATGAGGCTTAAATTAAATGGTAAAAATTAAATTCCATCATGGTGCTTATTTGCTCTCCAAAGTGCTGTAGGCAAAAGTAAATACTGATCACATTCCAGTGATTGATGAAACAGACACAACTTTCTTCAAAAACAATTTCCTCTACATTTAGAATTTCGAATTCATAACGATTGCTTAGAATTTCTTAACTGTTTGAAGACTTAAATATCTCATGTTTTTTAAATTCATTTACTTTTAAATTAAAGTTCATATAATTCCACATGTAGTTAAACTATGTCAGCGAATAAATACAATTCTTAAAGAGTGTTGTTTGGGGCAACTATTGGTGGAATTGGAGCCTTATACTACACCTGGGTTGAAAGTTCAAGACAAAAGAAAATTTCCAAAAGTTGAAAAAATATAATTAAAAGTTTACTTTAAATTTATTTATTTTTTCCATCAGTTACATTTCCTGTGTTAAACATTGTTAACTTATATGGAACTAAATATATAATATACCCCTACAACTTGTTGATTTTAGGTCAACAGTTATCCAAGAAGGTGATTGGACCAAGATTAAGCTTTATTGCCAAGTTTTTGTCTGCAATTAATTAATTAAGAGGACTCATTTTTAAAAGCTGGCTGTTCTGCAAGAGAATCCACAGCTAATGTAAGAGAACAAATAATTATCTGATTAATAAAATAATAATTGTAAGGAAATAACTTTATTGCACCCTTTTATTTCCTTTCCATGCTTCAATTCATTTTTATTTTTTTCGACAATGTTTCAGGCAATTTTGCCTATTTTCAAATCGAAATCTTTATCTATAATATTACAATATATTAATCACAAATATATATGTAACAGCACACACAAAACTATAAAAATCTAAAAAGTCAACTTAATGAATACAATCTTTACTTACATCATCATTCTGTCCTCTATGGTATATTATTTTTTATATAATTGTAGCAAAATCTTTTTTCATTCTTATCCTCACATTCCTCTCATAATAATTTCATAACTATTTATGAAAAGTTCATTCTAAAATTAAAATAAGAATACTGAAATTTACAATACATCACAAATAAGAAAAGGCCAAACAACAAATTTTTCAACAATTTACTACACTATTATATAAATTACCTTTGAACACCTCACACTAATTAAATATTTTTTTTTTAAATTTCCATCGAATGCTATACATTTTCGGCCTATATATATAATAGCCTTATGTCCACTGTGAGCTGTGTGCTGTGTGCTTACATATTATTATGCTCTTTGGGATTAAGAGTTCTGCATTATTTTAATACTTTAAGTATTATTATTGCTAATAATTTTGCTGAAATGATTATTTAAATTACTTCAATTTAATTGAAATTCTAATTTATTAATTATGTCAACATAATGCTGCCCAATCACCTTAATATCTGCTTTAAAAATTACCCACATTTTTAATCATTTTAGTTATATAGATAAATTCAAGATACTTTCTTATTTTATTATCTTCAGCCCTATTTAAAATTTCTATTTTATCATAATCAAGAATATGATTATTCATGATACTATGCCTTGTTAGAGCTGTGACATTGATATTTTTAGGATTTTTAGTATTTATTTTATGTTGATTTATTCTATTTTGCAAATGGGACATAAGGCTATTATATATATATAGGACAAAAATGTATAGCATTCAATGAAAATTTTTTTAAAAAATGTTTAATTGGTGTGACGTGTCCAAAGGTAATTTACAAAATAGTATGGTAAATTGTTGAGAAATTCATTGTTTGGCCCTTTCTTATTTGAGATATATTGTAAATTTCAGTATTTTTATTTTAATTTTAGAATAGACTTTTCATAAATAGTTATGAAATTAATATGGGAGGACTGTGAGGATTAGAAGGAAAAAATATTTGGTAATAATTATATAAAAAATAATATAACATAGGATAATGAGGTAAGTAGAGATTGTATTCATTAAGTTGACTTTTTAGAATTTTATAGTGTTTGTGTAAGAGCTGTTACATCTTTTACATGTATGTTTGTGATTAATATATTGTAATATCATAGATAAAAATTTCGACTTGAAAAGAGCAACATTGCCTGAAATGTCGTCGAAAAAATAAAAATAAATTGAAGCATGGAAAGGAGATGAAAGGGTGCAATAAAGTTATTTTCTCGTAATTATTAATTTTGTTAATGAATTGAAAATGCCTTTGAAAATTTGGAAGATTTTATAGAAAAAATAATTATCAGTCTAAAAATTCAAAATTACATCGAAATGTTCACACCTCAAAAATTCATAATCTCATCAAAATTTGATGACCCTCAAAACTTTTGATAAGGCAACTTCCGCCATGAAACCCTTTTCTGGACAATGCTGCCTATACAATGATTTTTAAGTAATTCTTGAATGCTATTAAATGTAATTAATTACACTAACCATAATATGTTTACAGGTAATATTTTTTCATTAGATATGGTTATATTTTAACATTTTGGGGGGGAGAGCTTCGGTCTTAAAGTCCCCTCCTCCGTAGATCTGCTTGTGCCACCTAATAATCTGAAATAGTTCATTATAGTAAATAGTTTATAGCACAGGCTATGGGAGGGGCTTTGGGGCTGAAGCCCCCACAAAATGGTAAAATATAACCTTGTTTTACAAAAAAAAGTATTAAAAAATTTCACTTAAAGTATTCTTATTCGTGTAGTTAAATTTAATAGGACTTCAAGAACTACTTAAACACCATTTCATAAAGATAGTTAATTTCTTTCTTTTTGTTCAAATTAATTATCATTTTATATATATGAAAAAAAGGCTTTCGGGCTGAAGCCCCTCCAAAATTAAATTCTGGATCCGCTAGTGGTTTATAGTAAAAAATAAATAGTAACTGCTAGTGAATACCATGTTGAAAAAGTCATGATAGGAATGTAAATAAACTGCTTGAGAAGAGGTAAAGATTGGAAGGGAAGAATGGCTAAAACTCAGTAAATTAATATATCTCTTACAGACAAATTTCTAAAATTATAGGGCTGAATTCAAAAGAAGCAGACAAATATACAGTGATGGAGGACAGAGCTAGAGATGTGTGACACAGACATTGACTATCATAAATGTGATCATTGTACAGTTCAGCACCATAGCACATCCTTCTCCCCCTCTTTCAAATTTTATGAAAAGGCCAAAGTTTCACTGACTTTTCAATATTTCACTGTTATTTACTCAAAAGATAAGGTACAAAAGAGTTCAATAAACCATACAAATGATGGTTTAATATATTACATGTGAGAAACTGATGATTGGGGCTAATTTATGTAGGTCGTTCTAATGTTGGTACCACGGGCGGATCTACGGGGGGGGGGCTTTCGGGCTGAAGCCCCCCCCCAAATTGTGAAATATATCCATGTTTTATCGAAAAAAAGTATCTCTTAAAGTATTATTGTTCGTGTAATTACATTTAGAAGGTCTTTAGGAATCACTTAAACACCATTTCATACAGGTAGTTAGTTTCTTTCTTTTTTTCCAAAGTAATTATCGTTATTTTTATGAAAAAAACAACGTTCGGGCTTAAGCCCCCCCTCCAAAAAATAAATCCTGGATCCGCTAGTGCTTGGTACCCCAATATTTTCAATGCGGTGCTTATGTTATACTTGTAACTGTCGCAGTACCCTTTCAAGGACTTTAAAAAATTAAAAGAAGCGAATAATGAATGATGCAGGAACATGAAGGAGCGGTCCTAAAAAAGAATGGTCAGGACTGACCCGGTTTCCATAAAGGAACTACTATGCCCATCTCTAGACTGATTCACGTGAAGAGATAGGTTAGAGAGATTAAAAAGGAGCCTTCAAGCGGACCCTACGCGGTAATTCATGAATGAACGTCAGAAGAAGTGCCAAGATTGCTCGGGATCGCTTTGATCATGAAGACCCTTACACGTTACACGCCTGAAGTCAAAGTTAGAAAAATATAAGTCAACTACATACAAAAATCTAGGAAAAGTATTGCGAAAATAATCAATTTGTTAAGAAAAATGGAAAAATTAATGACAAATAAACACAACAATTAAAGATTTTTTTTCTATAAGTAAATTGTGAAGTTTCCACTTTTATTTCTCTTCAATTTATTGCCTACTTGACTATTTAAAGAAAAAATAGTTGAAAATGGTTAATAATAATATAGACTAGGGATATAAACAACTATTTACTTTTATGAAATTATTTACTTAATAACGAGACCTATCGTATTAAGGACTTTTCGTATTAAGAAGTGGGAACTAATATTACAGAATATAACATCATTTACAAGAGGCTACTCTCAACATCTACTTCGCTTTGTGATTCAATATTCATTTTCAATCAAATGACTGTTTATGTTTGTTATTACAAATTAATTACTGAAATGCCAATTCGTGATGTAAAAGTTAAATGAACATTAATAAGGTTTGTCATTCTGGGATTGCAGTTTCTGCTGTAGAGGGGTATAGCTTTGATGACAAAACTTCATGATCCTCCGAAAGACGAGAACAAAGCCACATTTGTATTTATTTGAATAATATATGAATAATTTAATTCGTTTAATTATTTATTTGATCTTTTTAATGTAATTAATATTATTGAAAATAAAAATGTATCTCGATATGGCTACACTGAGTGCCTAGAAGGTTATTAATTTTTCAGTTTTGACAGATGTATATAGTTAATTTTGTATTTGTGCGTTTATAGATTTCTTTTAATTTGAATTAGTTGAAAGTGATAATTACTGTAATGGCTGAGGGTGAACCTGCAGCAGAACCTAAGAAAGTAGTCCATATATATCCATTAGTTGAGGTAAATTAGAGCAATAATTTGTTTTTACTGTTTACTAATTAAAATTTATGTTCGAATCCTCCCTCTTATTATATAAATTGTTAATAAACTTCTCTTGTATTGATAAAATATATTCCATGAATTGTAGAACTCGGACATGAGTGAAGATATGAAGAACGAAGCAATCGAATTAATAGTTACAGCTTGTGAAAAATATTCTACTAATAATGAGGTATGTACTTTCAATGGTGGAATTTTTAAGTTCAGCGTTTCACTTTAAGAGTATTCAAAATTAAATTGTTTTCGTCATTTAATTTTGTTTATATTGGCACATTCTTATGTTATCAATTTTTGGTGTATTGAGGTATACTACAGAATTTAATTAATCCTTTTTCAGTAAGTTTAGCTTCTTATTGATGTAAATTTTAAAAATCAATTATTGATAATAGAGCTTTCTCTATCCATTTTCATTTCTTGTTTTGTTTCTCCAATAGCTGATTGGCTTATCTTTGTTTTTATTATTGCCTAGCAACACAATTTGATTCCTTAGCAACTGCTGTTTTTGTTTGTTTTTTAAAATATTGATAAAGATTCTTGATATGAGCCTTACACTTGACACAAATACTCCAATTTCAACATTTTTGAGTAAAATCATTTTAGTGATATTTCTAGTTTAGTTATAATAGTAGTTATAGTACCGATTTAAAAAAAAAAATTAATAAATAATTGTGCAATATAAATTTTAAAATAATATAACATGTTGTGGACTATACGATTTCATACTGTTGTCATTGAATTACTATTTTTTTATTATGGGTAATAAATAGTCAGGACGCAGTCATTTTAAGTTTTTATTGGTGACGAGGTTTCAATCCAAGCATGTGGGTCATCATCAGGCCTGAAAATCGTTTAATACTATTATATCTTGTTAATTAGATTTTTGACAATCGATATTTTTATAAAAACACATGGGTTCACATGGATTATAAAAAGCAGATAACCACAATAAAGTTATGAAACATTTTTTTTATCAATTATAATTCTCTCTTACATAATAAGTGATGAAGAGGATGATACAATCAGAGATATGATATTGTTGGACAGATATTGGTTAATAATATCTGTCTTACTATATTATGTCTATGATTGTATTAAATAATTTTCAGCCCTGATGATGACCCACATGTTGGGGTTGAAACGTCAACACTAATAAAAACCTTAAAAATGACTGCACTGCATCCTAACTATTTATCACCAATGATATATAGAACAGTCAATTAATATCCTTCAATATATCTTTTTTTTTTTTGGCTTTACTGACCTTGTCAATCTTTGGCTGCCTGAATCAGCCTTCTCCATCTTTGCCTATCTTAGGCTATTTCTTCCTAGTTATCTGCATGCAGCTCTATTGCATGTTTGTTGATTTGTTCTATCACTCTGCTTTTTGCCCTTCTACCTGGTCTGTTAGTCCGAGAGCCCGTGCCAAAAAAGGTGTCATATTTCATACTAAGCTTTGTACTATTAAATTGATCGTATCCACCGGCCTTGATAAGAAAAATACCCGTCTGCCAGCATATAGCCACTGGAATACAAAATGGCGGCCATGTGAAGATAGATAGAGACTCTATATAGGTCGTAAACGTATATATATCGAGAGGGCTTATGGATATATAAAGCTACCAAACCAATTTATAGTATTTACAATCTTAAGACACAAAATAATAGTCAGTAACTCCATACCCACAGATTCCAATTAAAAAAATTTAATTATGATTCAAAAATTTACTTTTTTCGCTTATTTCGGTGAAACAATGTGTTTTATCTAATATAGGGTCATATGTGAAATTAAAACTGACATGATTTTCAATAGAAATAGTTGTTTTAGCTTTTTCGCTATATATTCTGTAGTTTCCGTGATATCCGTTCTCGTTATTCACTAATTTCGAAAAAAAAAATTTTGCATCGCATTTTTATCATTATTTGATTCGCCAACTCTTCCATTTTATGAAGTCAAGAGAAGGAAAGTTGTTTAATATTAAATTTTCTTTAAGAATATATATTATTTTACTATCTTATCTTCAACCATTTATAGGCTAGAGCAATTATAACTTAATGATGAAACTCCAAAACTAATCAGAAAAACTTACTTTTCGCAATTTTCGTTATTTCACAGCTCTTAATCTGTATGTAATACAACATATATGTGTATACATTGGCTTTCATAATATACATATACATATATAACTTTTTGAATTATATATTCAATTTATCGTCTTGAAATCCATGGGTCTGGGGTAACTGACTATTGTTTCATGTCTTAAGACTGCAAATACTGTAGATTGAAAGGGTTGGTAGCTTTATATATCTATAAGCCTTCTCTATATATACGCTTTCTTACCTCTTTCTTACCTACAACCTATGTAGGGTCTTTATCTATCTTCACATGGCCGCCATTTTGTATTCCAGCAGCTTTATGATGACAGAGATGCATTTTTCTCATCAGGCCGGAGGATATGTTCAATTTAATAGGACAAAGCTTAATATGAAAAATGACACCTTTTTTGCCATGGACTCCAGGACTATCTTGCCTACTACTGAGGTATTCGTTGATGTGTAGAGGCTTCGTAATGGATAGCTGTCAGTGGGTTACATGTCCTGCCTATCTTAACCTCCTTGCCTCCATATCATAAGATATTGATTGATGAGTGTATAAAAACAGTTCTTTATTGGTCCCTCTACTCAATGCGTAAACCAAGATCACTTTGGTTATCGTGTGAAGGATTTTCCTCCCAAATAATTTATTATTCCTTTCTAGTGTGCTCTATAATATCAATACTAGTTTTATTTTAATATTGTACACTCTTAATTTGAGATTTCAAGGAATGTTTTGGGATTTCAATAACTTTGAAAGAGGTAAGAAAGCTCTCTTAGCTTTTGTTTCACGTGTTTGTCATTTATTGAGATCAGTGGGACCTGATTTATTTGAATCTATTAACTTTTGGGAACAATTTTCCCTTAGTGCAGATCCTGTTATTGGGATGGATTTTTTGGCATACTATCTTATGTTTTGTTTTATTTTTATTTAAATGATGGCAAATTTGCTCTGTTTTTCTTATGAGTCTTAGCATGTCTCAATGTTTACAATCTATGTAGGGTCTCTATCTATCTTAACATGGCCGCCATTTTGTATTCCAATGGCTATATGCTGACAGACGTGTATTTTTCTCATCAGGCCGGTGGAAATGATCAATTTAATAGGACAAAGCTTAGTATGAAATATGACACTGGTTCCCAGACTAACAGACCAAGTAGAAGCCAAAAAAGCAGAGTGATAGAACAAATCAACAAACATGCAATAAAGCTGCATGCAGATAACTAGGAAGAAATAGCCTAAGATAAGGTCAAAGATGGAGAAGACTGATTCATGGTATTCATTCATGATCCTCTTGATTGTTTCTGAAGTCAGCTATATCATAGGATTTCATAATTCATTCCGACATGCACCTCTCAATTTTCACCTTCTCAAATACTAAGTTGAACAGGATTGGTGAGAGTCCAACTCCTTGTATCTGGATTCAACATTTAGGATAATTTATTGTTAGTTAAAGTGATCTTATTATGAATATAGTAAGTGCAGAAATTAATAAATTTATTGTGCTGCATTGCAGTCAAAAAAAGAAAAATCATTATTTTCACCTTATTTGTTTTGCAGATTACAGTTGTTTTTAAGTTTACCATGGCATTAATGAACATTTGATTGTAGCCAAACTATTGTTTAATATTGACTTTAGTTGTTTGTTTCCAGAAACCTGTTTGATTGTGTTTTAATTTATGTTAATTAAACAAAATTTAAGATTTTGATTATCTAGCCCAAGAAACAGCCTTATGTACATATTATATAAATATTTATATATATATATATATATATATATATATATATATATATATATATATATATATATATATGACATCCAAGACTGGTAAATACCAACGGGTTAATATTTTAGGCTGTCTATAAGAAAACTAGCAAAAAAAGCTAGCAATGGGCAATATCTAATCTTAAGAAGTCTAACAAAAAATAAATTGTGTATATGTGTATGTTTGCATGTGTTTATTAACCTAAAAACAATAAATGAACAGTTTGAGTTTTTCTCAGTTTTGAGTGATAAGAAATAAATGCATTAATATGTGTGAGGATAATTTAAAAATTATATCAATTGTATACGATAAATTAAGTTTAATAATCCATTAAATGAAATGTTTTCAGCTAGCAGCAAGTCTTATAAAAGAACAACTAGATAAAAAGTTCGGCCCTTCTTGGCATGCCATAGTAGGTGAAGGCTTCGGATTTGACATTTCTTATGAATGCAACACTCTTTTATATCTATTTTTTGGTGGTAATGTAGGAATATGCATATGGAAATGTTGATAATTAAAAAAAGTCTGAACAGAGTTGAAGTCTGAACATCAGTATATGTCTTCGTATGATCTAGTCCTAAATGAATAAATCATTTGATATTAAATTATAAATACATATCCCCAAGGGATCTGTTTGTTTTAAACTTCATAACATTGTTCATGAATTGTGATCATTTTTATTGAAAATATTTTTAAATCTAGTGTACCTAGTGTTTATAAAACTTAAGATAATGGTAATGATAAGTTCCAGTAAGGAGATCATTCCATATAATTTAGTGCTAATTCATGCATTAATACTTAACTAAATAGTTAAGATTTAAGATAAAAGCGAAATATTTCATTTTATTCCAAGATATAGTAATGTTAAGCCTCGAAGCTCAATAATGAATTTAGCTAAAATAAATTGATGTACCTATATAGTGTTCAGTTGTTAATAATGCATATTAACCTCAAGTATTGCTCTTTGGCTTTCATAAAGCACAATGTTTATTCTTCCAAGATACTTTTGTAGTGATATTAATAACAGATACTAGATTGTATTTGTTATTTTAATGCCTTATGACAATGAAATCAAGTTTTACTAGTTATCTAATAAAAATATGTCCGTACAATCAAAACCCTGATTGCTATTAAGTGAAGAATGATACTTGAATTGCGCATTTAAATTGTTAATTTTTATTTCATGATTTATTACTTACAAAATTCTGATGTGAGCTCAGAATATCCTAATTCAGTGAGAAAAAAAAATTATTTTAAAAGATTTTAATTTATTCGGTTATCACTTTAATGAAAGCAAAACTAAATAATGCAGTATATTTGAGGCTTTCAAAATAACATGAATTCATAACCATGAACTCCGCTTAATTGAACAGTTTTTTTATTTTATTTTTACTCTTATTGCTTAACAGGAACTTCTAGTCAAATATTATAAATATTTATTTTAAGCACTGCCACCTTAGAAATACGATTCTGTTAAGAAGAATAAATCTAATTTTTTAAGCATTGTAACTTCTAATTTAAGGCTATAAATTATAATGAAACAAGAATCAAAGGTTTTTGACAATTATATGAAAATCCATTGTTGTAGTATTTTACTATATCTTAATTTAATAGAATACTATAGTATAGTATAATACTTACCATTGAGTAGATATGGTTACTCCTTTTCATTATTGTTAATGAAAGAATAAATTTCTGTTAAACTTTCATTATTTAAAATATGATGAATGGTTGCTTGGATTTATAATGCATCAAACGAACATTTTTAAGTTGATATTTAATAGTTTTAGATTATTTATTTATCTTGGATAATGAAATATTCTTTATTTATAATAAGCATACCTCATTCAATTGTTACCTAAGTCTTTTATATCAAGTAATGTTTTATTATATCAAATTTAATTTTTATGAGACCAAATAAGTCTAGTCCTTTTTTTCTTCTAGTCTTTGTTATTTATTGAATAAAATATATTAGTTACATAATATGTTAGTATTGTCTAGATTACAGTTTTCTTGTTTATTTTTTTTTAATTTATTATTAATTTAACTTGGAAAAAGTTATTTTATTTATAATATGTGCAATTGAAGTGACATAAAAATTGTTATCTATTTAACCATTTTATTGCAATTCATCACTTTCTTATTAAAATTAATATAATTGCGATGTTTTTTACATGTATATAAATGGGTAGTGTGTGTAAGTTACCTTGAAATGGTTATAGTAATGTAATTTCATTAAAATTGATGTTGTTATATTGCAATTATGAAGCTAGTATTTCAATCTTCACCAAGTATTACTCTAAAGTTTGCTCAAGACTTAACTTTTAGTTGAGAGGGAGGAGAATCATTTGATTAGGGAACATTGAACTTTTTCATACTTCCTAAAAATCTTCATAAATCTTATAGACCCTGACAAAATTTATGAATGTAATAGTATCAATCTGAGTGGTCTGTATAGATTATTTTGTGATCTTTATTTTGATTAATGTATTATTCTTTTTATTGTTTAGATCAGGGTTCTCCAAACTTTTTGGCCCACGGGCAATATTAAGTCCTCTACTAAGTCACACGGGCCATGGCTTGTGATAAATAAATGGCATTTCAGTCGTGAAATGAGCTTTCTAAGAGAAACAACTTATTCAATAAATGTTGTAGAAACCTGTTTGAGTGATTTACTGAATTTCATATATTTTTAAATACTTTTAAAATTTTACCGTGTAATCAAAAAAACTTGTGGGCCGGATCCGGTTGCTAGGTGACCCTTGGTTTAGATGATACCTTAATTTATTTACTCGCTATTCATTCATTTTCGGATGTTTGTTATTCATTTATTTAAACTTCTCCCAGAAATAAGAAGCTATTTTTCAATAACCAGTTAATCACTTTTTTTTTTTTATCATATAGGCTTTTTATTTTCAGTAACCTATTAATCAGATCAAAATAGGAGCAGAAAAAAGTTATCAATTGCAAAAATAACTTTTAAATATCTTAGTTATTTCTTGAGAAACCTGTTATTTTTTAAACTTTTAATGATAAAAATACTGCCCCATATTATATATTTCATAAATAGGTAAGTGAATGTAAAAATTGTATGTTCCAAATATATATATTTTCCAAACCCAAATGTAATGCTTGTAATGTTCAGTCTGTTCTGGAAATATAAAAGTTCATTTCTCTTAATCCGAGGAGAGATATAAATAAAAGAAGAAGTAAAAATAGTTATTGCTTTACATGTTATTTTCAGAAGTAATTATTGAAATAAAATAGTGATTAAAAAGGATTGTGGAATTAATTGATTGTTCTTATATTAATCTGGGCTTGGCCTTTAAATTTTCAAAAGTGTTACATGTTTCAACTATGGCATTTATTCAATTGCCTTATTTGATTGTGTTGACTAAGCTTAATAGTAGTTTTTATTTGTTAAACATTTCTGAAATTTGTTGGTTAAAGAACAGTGAAAGCATACTAAATTTAATTGTTTTGGAGATATATTATGTTAATGATTGTATCGATAAACTTATAGAAGTAAGAAAATTATTAAATGTTTAACGAGATCTCAAATGTGTAATAAACTTGTCTGAAATTCTAGTCCAACATATTTACTCAAAATCAAATTTTCTTCATTTAAATAAATAAGTTCAAAGGGTTCTATAAGTTTGGGACCATCATTCAATGCATCAAAAGAATTGAACCTTGGTCATACCAACCATAATGTTAATGTGAAAGAGATGTTTGTTATTTTGTTTTATGTTAAGGAAACAACAAAATGTAGCTTCACAAATGCCGAATGAATTTAAGAATATAAGTAGCTCTTTGTATGTCTGTTGATTTTTATTGTTTTTTAATTTAAATCTAGATATGGATATAATTCCAAATATGTAATTTTATGTATTAGAATCAAATAAATTATTCGTTTTTTTTTTTTAAATAATTGTTATTACTCCTATAAATGAAAATATTCATTTTTTTTTTAATGTTAATATGAATGTGGTGGTGCTGTCTTAGATTAATAATTTCCACAAATAATTCAGGTTTATAAGAGGTTTATCATAAGAAAACAAATCAAGATCATAGGAAACTAACATGTTTATTTTTCAAAAATAAATCAATGGTATATTTAACAAAAAATGCTGCAATATGAGCAATTGACCATTACCAGCTATTCAAAACAATTAACAACTAACTTCTGGTAAAATTACAAGCAAATTCATTTTGATACAAACGCACAATAAAATATTAATTTCCTGTAGCTTCTTCAGCAAACATTATTAATGACCTGCCGACCATCTAGATAATAATAGTTATACACTATCAACATGTAAGTTGAAAAGCATACAACATAAACCGTAGCTTTTTTAACTACATATATCTTCAATAATTATTTACCCTAAGCCTAGAATTAAGTTCACAAATGCTTAACAATAAATTAATAAATGCACAAATTAAAATAAAAAGTTTATGACACATTAATTAAAATTATTTATCACAATTAAAAAAAACTAAGTGAAAATATAATAAAGTGATGACTAAAGATTAAATTTGATTCATAAGAAAGAAAAATTTTGACAATTTTACTGTGATAATACTAAAACATAGAAATGCAATACATTTCAGAGATCAAATATGACACAGAAAATTGATTTAATAAAGTAAGTTTATGCATTTTTTTAAGCAGGTATAAGTATGACCATTTTTTAAGCATGTAAAGGTTGAAACTAAAGAATAAAATTGTTTAATTTCTGACATAATATTATTAAGAGTTTAGCATATTTGTGAAAAAAATCGTTTGAAATTGATAATCACTCATAATTTTATTTAAATATTTCAAAGAAAAACAATTCTGATTAAGCAAATCAAATATGACCTACATCTATTCGTTCTTTGTGCTAAAGATCTATATTAGGCCAATTTATTGACAGTAAAAAAACTTGCAATTTAGGAATCCAGTTAAGTAACAGATTCCAAATATGAATTGCATAAATTAAAAATTGTGCAATATGTACAAATGCAAACTAAGTAATAATTGGAAAAAATTGTAAAATTTAAATGCCTCTTTTATAAAAATAAATGCACAAAACTATGCTAAAACAATTACCAGCTTAAAAAAAAAAAAAAATACAACTATTCTTTAGGTTCTGGAGTTTCAGGTGTATCCCACTTGAGATGAACTTCAGGAGTAAAATTTACAATTTCAACATGAACTGCCTGAAATTTTTCAAATTTTGGTGGTATAGGGCAAAGACGGTAGATTACCTTGTCTCCAGGGAGTGGGACATACTCTCCTTCCACACTGTAAATAAATAAATTACATTAAACTTACCAAAATAACAATATTGTCGTAACATCTCAGTCATATCTAAAATACGTAATATCAGTTTCATACAACTTTTCGTTTTTGAGCTAGACTGTTCACATACACAGAACATTTTGCGGGACTTGGTTATTTGGATTCAGAGGACCTCATAACGTGTACTTCTGTTGGAAACTCGGATCCAAAAATTTCCACGATCACAATACTTATCCTTACTACATATTTCATATATAGGTAAATGAAAGTAAAAATATGTTTAAATCACGGAAGGTATCACACTTGGTGAGAGGGATGGGTACATAAAGTATTGGTTAAAAATGAAGCCATTCACAGAAACAGCAAAATGTAATTTTGTCTGTTCTAGAGACTTCAAATTATGGGGGGAAAAAATTGTCCTAAGAGATGAAATATTCCACCAGATGGTGAAGGAAAGCCATGTAATGGATTAAGGAGGAGTTAAATGATAATGACCACAGAAATCTAACAATATAAATTAATGTTAATAAGCAAGATTGATCCAAAGAACTCAAACTTACATAGTTTTCCTTTTCTTTATTTTTTTATTATTTATTCATGATCTTTACAACTGTATAAAAAAAAAAAAAAATGTATACATAGTAAATTTTTACAAATGGATATAATGACATGAAAATACTTGTTGAGAAACTACCCACAGATAGCACTCTAATAATAAGTCTACATTAGGAGAATACGGGGCTAACTTCTTTTCAGACACCTCAGAGGGTACATATTTTTAAGTCTTTAAAAATTTTACAGTCACTGCAATTTATTAATGTAGTAAGCTTTATATTAAAATTCTTTGATTCCATCAATGAAATTGAATTCATTATTCATTTTCTTATTCACAAGATATAATGAGCATAATTTACAATGTGATAAGTTATCTCTTCAGCATGTTACCTCCATTCATTAAGGTTATTATTATTTCATTAGGAATAATAATAATCAATACATGTCATGGATTCAGGAGTTCTTATCATGTAACAGACTTTTTTTTTTTTTTACTAATTTCCTCTAATTCTATCAATGAAGTTGAATGGTAATACAGTTTCTCATTTATAGGATGTTATGATCATAACTTGCAAGGTGATAAAACATTTATTCAGCATATATTACCTCCATTCATCAGAAATTAAATCACTTTTCGGTTCTGAACTATTTCTATAGGCTCATAAAAATTATAATATACATGGTCTATTAGGTTGTCCTATTGAAAAAAAAAAAAAAAACTCTTCAAAATAATGCCAATCACATGTCTTACAGGATGTTCAGGATTCTGATTCACATTAAAGTCTTCTTTTTAGGTACACTTTTGTGTGCCTGGAAAGGCTTTGGTTATTTAACAAAAGAATGTTAATTATGCCTCTATATTATAATAATAATATAATTGAATTTTTATATTACTACACTATTTTATATTATGCAACAGCTTCCATACCATAAAGGTAAAACCCCATATCATTTTTAATAACATCACAACCCATGTATTTTAAATTACCATTCACTAATCATACTAATCTCCATTTATTTAATTATTATTGATCTTATAAGTAATTAATTCAAGGTTTGACTCTTTTAATAGGCCAAAATTGCCACTAACAGTGTTATATGATAAATAATATCTACATCTTCAAAATAGAACAAAAGTATGGTTAGAGTTCCTCCAGCATGCATACCAGGATTCTTAATACGCATTTGGAATGTATAGCAGTAGTGTTTGCAGCTCTGCTGATAAGTCTGTAGCAAAAATAATTATTCTTTTGAATTTAATTTAACATCCATAGATCACACTGCAGTATTTCCTAAATCATCAACCTAATATTGGTTATCTCCAATAAAAAATATGACGTACAGCAGAAATCCTCATTGTATTCATGTTACTCTCAAGCTGCGGTTTTGAATCACAATTTTTCCATTGGTGTGCTTAACTAGTCTAGCATTTATTTCCTACACTTCACCACTATGAGAGTAAGGTAAACAGAAGACATTGGGTATAATATAAAAAAATATCTTATTCTGGAACAATTTCTCTCCTTAAAATAACAAAAATTATAGAGAAAAACAGATAGATAATTTATAAATAAAAAATTAAGAATATAAAAGTTAAAATTACTTACAAATAGATAAAGACACAAATGCATAAATATTATTGACATAAATACAGATGATGAATAATTTTGCAGTTTAAAAGAAGTTATGATGGAGGCTTTATGAAACGAGATGAGTAAAAAATTTCAATTCATAGCACAAATGAAATAAAGATTTTCCTTTAATTGAGGAAGTTCTGTGAGATGATATATACAGGTTGGTAAATGATTCATTATGATATCACATTAAAAATTTAAGAAAAAGAAAGATTACCAATTAATTCAAAAAGTAAAATGATTGGACAAGTTCCTAAACTCAGAGCTGAGCTCATCAGTGGCATCAGATCCATCTCTAAACTGGACGAAGAAATGCAATCGATGGGCTCAGTGCTGAGTTATTGAACCCAGCTATTTAAAAAAAATAATTCTAAAACTAAAATTCTAAATGCTGTGTTGTTAAAATATAAAACAGCTGGATGAGTGCACTAGTTAGATGGTTGTGCCACAGTATTACTTAAACAAATCTACTAAGAAGTTGTAAATTAGCATCAATAAAAACTAAAAATATCACATAAACAGTCATAAGGAGATAATTTTCACAAAAAGTTAAATAATAATTTACACAGAAATTCCATGCATTTAATAACCTACTTACATGGTTAGTTAAAAATAATCATAGGAATCAAAATACTATCAGCGCAATTATTTATGTTTTAATGAAGAATTGCCAGTGCGATTCTTTAAAAATGTAACATAAAACATCTAAAGGAATAACTAAAACGTAACAAGAGTGGGATTAAACTATAGTGTTGTTATCGGATCAAATAGAATCAAATGCATTCAAATTTGAGTATTTTGAGAAAAACATACCTAATCAAAATTTCCAGAAGATGGGATGATATAAATTGGACATCCATTACATATTAAAAATTAAATTAAATAATTCAAAGTCCTCTATAACGTCCTTTGTGAATTCTATGTTTGCTTAAACTTAACTTACTCAGATATATGGACAAATAAAGTTTCACCATTAGAGTCTCTCTGAATGAAACCATGTCCTTTAGATCTGCTAAATTGTTTAACAACACCATGTTCCTGTGGGTTAGAGAAAGCCCTTGCAGATCTGTAATAAGAAGAATCGTAAATTATTGTACCAATGCAATCAAATTCTCATTTTATACTACTCTTACGTTGAATCGGTTCTTGTACGCCTGGTAATTATAGGACTTGGGACATGAAGAGAAGGACTACCATCTGGAGAGGACAAATTATGAAAACTGTTCGCTTTTATTGGGGTTTCCATTCTCTTACCAAGAAAGTTGCTACAATTGGCACGCTAATTCTCTTCAAGCTCTTACAGCTAAATAAGTGTTATCAACAGCTGTACCAGATAAGGTTATATTTACCAATATTTGCTGTTTCTAAACGTATTTTTTTTTAAAATCTCAGCAAGGATTTTTTTTTACAAATTTTGTGCGCAGTGAATGATTTTTTTTACAATAATCCACCAATGTTTAATTTAGTAATGATTTTTTGCAGAAAATGGCGCAAAATTCAGATGTAATCAATAGTTCCTGTAAAATATTCTAGGAGCGCTTGCATCTCCAGGATTGATATGTTTGACATTACAGGAGAAGTGCGCATCGTGGTAACAACAGATCACAGTTCAGGCGGTATACTATTGTAAATTGGTCGTTATAGTTTATTTCGTGCAATCTCTGTTAAACAAAAAATGGTTTGATTTATTGCTGCAGTACATCACTAAACACTACAAGAAAATGGTTCAGAAATATGTGTCCCCTGTTAGGGTCTACAAATACCCATTTGAACTTGTTATGAAGGTAAATTGGCTGATATGACAATGAGTTTGTGTTTCTCTATTTTTGTCTTTATTATTTACTCTTATCGGTCATTAATGTGGCATAAGCTATAAAATATTTGTTACAGTCTTAATTGTACAAACCAAATGTTTAATTTTTGACAGCACTCCTTCATGCTTTATCAATTTACCATTCCTAAAAACCACAATTGATTAACTCTTTTGTTTTCATTTACAATTACCTGAGATTTTTTATTAAAGTTATTTAACATAGTAAAGTGCATGTCAAAGTTGTTACTTTCACTGGTCTACTTCTTACATTCGGGTCTTCTATTAATGAAGCGATTTTCAAATTTATTGTCTCCCTTTATCATCACTTATCTGAAAGAAGAAATCAGGATTTTTAGGCCGAGTTAATCATAAATATTTTTTGTATAAAAATACCTTTCATAACTGCTCTCAAAAAGATCATCTAATGTATGACCTGAACTAGTTCTATTTTAGTTTCAAAATTCGAAATATGGATGTAGTAAATATTCTTGTTAATAGGCCTATGAGCGGAGGTTCCCCTCTTGCCCCCAGATTCCTGTAGTAATCAATTGTGAAATTATCTCTGATTGGACTTCACCTGACAAATCAATTAATAAAACTGAAAGAAAATGTAAACTCCATGTTGACGCACCGTATTTGTTGAAAAAGGTATGTTATATTTTATAAATTGTTGCTTTTAAAGTAATATTTGATTATTATTTTAGAGATGAATATAAATAAATAGATTTGTTTTCCTAAAATGTATATTTTAAGTTTAGTTATTCATTACAAAAATTAAAAACATACAGTATTCTCAATATATTTTGTTCAGTATACATATTGCCAATGCATATACCAATGTCAAATTTCTATAATTCTATTTTGGAAATTCGGTTACAAAATATGTGGCAGTTATTAAAGACTATATCTTCACAACTAAGTCAATAGTATTATGCTAATGAATTATGTTCAAAATAATGTAATGCAATCAAACTCATGTACAATGTTGATAAACATTTTACTGCACTTAAATATCTCATTTATCATAAGATTAAAATATATATTTTATGTATAAAGAAAGAATTTAAAATTTCAATCTCATTAAATCTGGGAATTGTTTATTAAAAAATACAGGACATCTGAAAAAACATATTATTACTCCCACTACTATCATAAAACCCTTCCACACTAGAATTATTAATTTCGAATTAAATGTCATCTACTAGATGCTATCATTATCGGTATAGTTTGTTAATTTTATTATATTTTAAATTTTAATGAGATTTAGATCTATCGTTCATTAATAAATACCTGAAGAATACAAAAAATGTTTTTTTTTAATACCAAAACTGTAAAGAGATTTAAATATGTTGTTAATGTTCATTCTTGATGAATTGACAGTTCCTGGATCAAATCTAGGAACATGTACTACCTAAATATTACTGAAGTTTGATTAGGTTTCAAATCCAGCAGAAATGTTAAGAATTATTAACTTAAGCATTTACTTAATAATAAATATTAATAAAAAAATCTACTCTACTACAAACAAATTTCATAAATGAAAGGAAATAATAACAATAATATTAAAATTAATAATTGAACTAGTCATTTATTTTTAGTTAATGATTTCTTTATTGATTATAAACCGACTGATTTACTAATTATTAAATTTATTTATTTGTGTACAGTATTTTAACTGAGATAATTCCTTAAGAATGCACAATGGTCCAAATTATTTATTTTACTTAAAGCCACACACTTCCTTTTTTAAAAATAAATTATTTATTAAGTGAAATTTTATTTAATTTTGTTTGAAATTGTGATATATAAAATATATGGATATCTGGACTTCAGTGTTTTCCCATGGAAGCCACTCTCCTGTTTTTTTAATGTTCCGAAATTGTTTGAACCTTTGTGATTTTTTACTCATTTGTTCCAGGTAAGAAGCTGTTTATACCTCATCCTTCTAGTAAGTAAATTTCTTTAGTTTTAGTTTTATTTTTATTCTAATTTTAATTAAGAAATAATATTTTTTCTATATATTATTTAGTGTTATTCTCCTGCTTTAATGGACCATCTTTCTAAAATGTGATAAATGGAATTTATAGATCATGGTGATCTTATTATTAATAAGAACATAACACATTCTTATTAACACATAAGCATAAATGGTTTTAAATTATTTTTCTTTTAGCTAATTAATGAATGGTCGAAAGGGACTGGTCTCAAAATAAGAAAATTATATTCCATACTAACTATTGAATCAGAGAACAGGATGGTTAAGCACGTTAGGGCATGGGTCCCAAAGTATCTGTTTCTGAACGTTGTGGGTTCCATTCTCACTTGGATAAGTTAATTTTCATTTCTCAGCGGCTCTGGAAAATGAATCTTGACATTCCCACTCTGGTAAGTGTGCGGACCATACCCATGTGGTCCACTTGCAGGACTAATCTCCTCCACCAGTACCAGTAACTATTGAATCATAGGCGGATCCAGCGGTAGTTTTGGAGTGGGGAACAATCAGCGTAGGTAGGACTACAGTATTTTCAAGAAATATTACCTTATTCCATGGTAAGAGTTTTATTTGATCGATTATATAGCAATTTCATATCTCGAATTATTTAAAATCGGCTATCGTAGGCAACAACGAGGTTATTAATTAATTTTATTTATGCATCTGCTACGATCGATTTCTTAAAAAATGGGTCATTTTTAAAAATTTTCTCCTCCTATTATTCATAATTCATTTATTATTTACAGTTAATCGCGTGTAATAGTACAGGTGGTATATTTGAAACAGTCGTATTTTTTTTTCTGTTATTCTGGTGGTAGAATTTCCCTCGCCTTGGAGAGCGTTTCTAAAAAATAAAAGTTGTGAAAGTGTAGAATTTAGTAAAATCTAAATATTGAACTAGACAGATTTTATTCTCTTCTCTCCTTCCCTTTTCTTTTAGAATATACGGAGTTTTCCCGGGCCAGAGGGTGAGGACGGGGGATTAATGCCAGAGTTAAAAACCCCCCATGGCACTGGGATGCGAACTCGTGAACATTATTCTTATCAATTATCTCAAATATCAGGTTGTTGGGCAACAGCGATGTTGTGCAAACGCGTTAGCCCGGTCTCTGTTAATATTAGAATTAGTTAAGTAGAATTAATAAGGATGGCGAGAGAATTAAGTCTCCTACGCGCGATATCTCCCGGCGATACAGCACCCTTTGTCGGTTTCGTTGAGTAGTATCGCGTTCTGTGTGACTGCTGTAATGTAGTAGATAGTAATACAACTAAGAGGAATATCGTTTCACTGAAACATACAACATTCTGTGTGTAGGAGACTTTATCGCCGAAAATAGGTTTAATTCTATGGAATAACCCCACCTTCTTTGACCGATGGAGTTAGTGTGTAGTAAGAGCTTCAGACTCAATTTGCATATAAACAAAATATTGTTCCTAGTCGAACGAGTTCGTATAATTGAGTAAAATTATGGATTATTGAAAAAATATAATGAAATACATCGACAGTTTTCAAAAATCCCTAAACAGTTCGATCTATCGAAAAAATATAACGATATTTCGATATATCGGTTCCCTATATTTTTAATCTTTGAAAAAGTAGGGTTATAAATATCGAGCTATAATACAGATTCGTTTTTTAGTTATCTAAAAAATCGAAGTATCATTAAAAAAAAAAAAAACAGAAATAGAATAAATTAAATAGCTAAAACATTAAAATAAAAAGTTAAAAAGAATGGAAGTAAATCAACAACATATTGATTACTAAAAACTTATAGAATCAAACTAACAACTTTTCACTAATTACTTCCCAAAAAAGGAATTAAATTGCTCACCATAAAAAAGTAAAGAAAATCAAAATCTTTTTGATAATAACTGAATCTTATGATAAGAATTTATATTGTCATTAAAAACCGAAAATGAAAGAAAAATATTACTAACAATAAAAACCTAATTATACCAATATTTCTCAGATGTGTAATTCAAAAAATAATTTCATTTTTTTGTGATTATCAGCTTCTTTCCTTGTAAACATTCTCTTTAAATATATATATATATATAGGTTATATATATATATATATATATATATATATATATATATATATATATATATATTTCGATAATCGAATTTCAATATCGATATTTCGCCAGTAGCGTTAAGTAAAATATATGGTACGCTTATAGTCTGAAAGCTGTAGTAAAAAATCGACATTATTTGATGAAAATTTTTAAAACATTTATTTGACCGTGATTATTGACTATACCACTTAAACAAATCGTTAAGTTTAGGTACTCGTTCGACGCACAATTTAACGTTCTTTAATTTCTTAAACAGTACGTTTTTCGCTTCGCTGCACTGTTAGGAGTTATAGATGAACAAATAAAAAGATAAAAAAAATGTGTCGTTTTGGCTGTAAAAAGTTTTCTCTTGGTGGCCTGCGTTAGAAATTTTATTTTTTACATGTCTAAAGCCAATATACAAGTTCAAAAAATAAAAACTTTTCCCACATTTTTCGCAATCAAGTTTCCGTTTCGATTCTCAAGTCCTAATATTCTTTGAATCATCCGCCATTTTTACAGGTAGCAAGATCCAATTGGCAGACTCATTTTTTAAATATAAATATTCAAAAAAGATGCTTTCAAAATTTTCATCAAATTATGTCGATTTTTTTTGGACGGGCTCTTTATACCGACAGCAGATGGAAAGGATAAAAAAATATATTAATACTAGCATAATGAAATAAGCGTTTATATATTTGTTTGTGAAATGTGTAAACGCAGCTTTGAATTACTAGTTCGTTGAGTTCCCTCGAAAGTAACATCTTAATAACTTCAATTTTTTTATACGTTATCTACTATTTAGCCTGAGGTTTTGATGTATCATCGATTTTTTTAATTATTAATATTTTATTTTATTTTTTAAATCATTTTCTTCTGCCACCTTTCCATTTAACTTAATTAATTTCGTGTTTTATTTGTCTTTTATCTCTACTATGTATATTATACTTATTTAAACTATAACTATGACGGATTTTATGAATGTTCACTTGGTAGGATTTACTGATTATTTTTTAAATCATAATCATCATAAAAAAGAAGTAATATCCTGGTTATTAATTCATCTAAGATGCATGGTTTTTTAAAAAATGATCATGTAATTAATACTGCTTCGTTGAAACTAAATTTTAAATTTTTTGGATTCACAAGTAATACAAATAAAAGAAAAGCTTGTTTATATTTGTATTTTTCTTAATACTTCTCTCTCTTGGTAGTTAGTATTTATTGGAAAAATGAAGAAATGAACTATTTTTGTAATCATTATTTTAATATAGTAATGTTTTATCTGTCAGGACGTGTTGATTTGTGACATTAAAGCATAAATTTGTTTGTTAAATATCTACCTGCTAACGCGCTATTCATCTCCGGCAAAAATTATCTTGGCTTAACATATCTTCTAATTATATTATATAATTATATTAATTATATGATAATTATATTATATTAATTATATTATATTTTTTTTTAAAATTAATAAGGATATATCAGTATGTCTGTATTGACGTCGATGAGCACTCAAAATTTGATGTAGTTGTCAGCATAGGCTCAGACTTCTGGAGGAACGAGGGCGCAATCGCCCCTCCTTCCCCCTTTCCCAATA